AAAAAAAAAAAAAAAAAAAAAAAAAATCTCTTGATACAAATCACATAATGGTCACATGGACATGAAGTCAATTTTACAAGAATGCAGAGAAGGTGAAGTACCTAGATATTGAATTGAACCACAGTTCGGATAATGATTTTTTTTTAATTAAGCAGACAATGGTATGTGGTGTAAGTTAGGGTTAAAATTGTGGGTATCATAAATCACTGGTAGGTACATAAAATATCTTTTTTTTTTTTTTTTTTTTGAGTACATTACCTTCCTCCATAAGAGTCAAAACAAGACTGTAACTAGACAAGATATGCTTATTACCTCGACAATTGGGTTCACTGGTTCAAGAAACACGAGGCTGAAGCATGGCTTACTAGTAACATGACACAGGCAATATAACAAAGAGGAGAACTTGGTCAGAGAAATCACAAGAGGCTCGGACTGGGTTTTTTTTAAGCAAAGAAGAACTTTTTTTTTTTTTTTTTTGGTTTGGTTTCCCTTTTAGTTTTCAGGCTAAGGGGTACCAATCCTTGTCAAATCAGATGGGTGCAAAGATGGGCAAGCTTTCTTTGACATAAAATGTTGTTCCTTTTTTTTGGGTTGGTCAGGCCTCTTGAAAATTTTTGAGTGGGGTTTGAGATGGTAAGTACCAGAACTCCCTAGCAAGGTACAAGTTTTTTGTGTACCTTCTGGCTCCTCAGGGAGAAAAGAAAAGATCCCCCCCCCCCCAAAAAAAAAAAAAAAAAAGAAGAAGTGGAGTCCCACCCAAATAAATTGATGACAAAGGAAAGAAAAGAGATCAAACAGGTGTTGGTGTTGGTATTGATATTGAGTGGAGTTTTAAAATGGGATGGGTTAGGATGGTGAGTAAGGTGCTAAGTAGGTGAAAAGGTGAAGAGTTGGGGTTGAGGCGGCAGAGGTGACAGTGATGACGAGAGAGGGATGAGTCACTTGTTGGCGGTATACAATGACCTATCTCTATTATCTGAGATGATAGTATTACATTGAGTGAAATTCCTACTCCCAGTGGCGGTACGATCGCGTAAGTGTTGTAGGTCAGCAGCCAGTAACTTTTACATATAGAACCAATACTGCCCGGAAAGGACCCGCGTGCAATCAAGTACAGTACATGGGAGTCAGTGAGATGAAACTCATGAGTTTGATTCAAGCAAGTTGAAACACACCAAAGCAGAATATCTTATGTTGGCTTCTTGGCCTTCAAAAATGCAGTTTCTCAGTGATGGTGCAACTCCCAATTGAGTGTCTGTCCGCAAGATGAAGCGCGCTGCGTCGCCTTCAATCCCTTTGAGCGCCAGCCATGGAACGTTTTGAGTTGGATCATCCGGTGAAGGTATTGAACCCATCTTGGCTGCAATTATGAATTTCCCTTTCTCAGTGGGTAGGCCACCTACCTCTGATGTACCGGTAGATTCCCTTACCAACCCGTACTTCAATTCAGATGTGAAAGATGTCTCATACTTCATTTGACTAGCAGATGTCACCTCAGGGTAGTGCGAGTTACCTGTGAATGCCATCCGCCGCTGCTGATCAATTTTTTTTTCGGCTTGGTGAGAGAGCAGTATCCTTTTTTCATCTTTATTGGGTTCAAAGAAGAATCCCGGAAGTGGAGCGGGGTCGTGTGCAACAAAATAATGAGTCGCCAGGTGCGGGTACGACGCCAGTGCGCTTTGGGCCTCTTTCCTGATAGCTTCTCTTGCAATGTTCACCGGGCTCGTAGTGATCCCGGTGAGATCCCTCAGCTCAGCCACTGTAAAAGTATATGATCCGCCTGTCAGCTTGTGCCTCAAAAGACTAGCGTGAAAGCGATTAAAGTTGTGAGAGATTGCGTTTAGACAAAGAAATCTTACCGGCGCCAACGGGATTCCAATTCGGCGTACCAGATACAAGGGAGCAAGTGTAATTTTGGGTCCCAAAGCCGATACCGAGATATTTGAGCTGGAGACCTTCAGGGACAGTTAGGTTGTAAGCCGCAGCATCTTTCGGAAGCTTGGGTCCATCTTTGATTGAAAGGCTATCAGTTGATAATCTTTCGCTAACGTAGGAAAAGCTTTCGACATTGTGATATGAAAGCATCAATAGTGCAAAAACTCGAGTTAACAAGCTCGTCGAGGATACTCGCATGTCCTTGAGTTATTTGGCAGATGATGACTGGGTGGAAAAAGTGGAGTGTGAATCCTGGAAAGACCGATGTGGTAGGAAAGCCGATCTGGCTCTGAGTCCTTGTGCAAAGACAGGCAAAATAATCAAAGTAGTGAAGGGAACAACCCACCTTGTTGGCTGAAGAGTGCAGGACCTGTGGGAGGATTTTTGAAAGCACTTAGCTTGAACTGGTCCTTTGGTCTTTCCCTTCAAGTCAGCCAGAAAGAAGATGGAAGAGGTCTGTAGCCACAGATCGTTTCTCCATCAAGACTGGCTCGACTTATCGTCTGCACAACAAAAGTGATGATCGATTGAAGTTCAACACACTGTGCCCGCCTGAAAGGTCACCGACGTCGGGAGCTCTGGAGAATACGAAAGGGTCTCTCAGGGCACTGTGACCGCCATTTTTTCACACCCATCGTTCTTGATAGATGAACGTAATGGAGCAGCGTCCAGAGAAGATCAGTACCACAAGGCTCCCAAGCGGCCGCGACCGCGATCGAAAACCGAGCAACGATTATTCATGAGCATACGGATCCACTTGAACGAGGCGAAGGTAACAGTGTGAAAATGAGTGAGCCTTGCGGGTTGACTTAACGAGAGATGAAGGTTGCTAAGGATTTGAGATACCACCTCATCTCACCTGATCATGTGACTCTCCGGTTCCGATCCTGGAAAGCAGGGTATTCCCACTGATGTTGGCCATGCAACAGCTCTTCAGCCAGCTAATAGAGTACATCAGGCCTGACCTGGTGTCACAGAACCAACTTTAAGTTGAAGCCATAAGAATAGGATGCAACCTCAAGGTATGTTACTGAAGGGAACCTTGGGCTTTTTTTTTTTTTTTTTTTTTGATACATGTAAGATACGTCGGTGTGGATGCCCTTTTTCATGAGTGAAAACACAAAAAGGAATTTGATCCACCGTCTAGAAATAATAACTATGTGTGTTACCCTCCAATGGTGTATAAGTTTTCTGAAAGCGTTACTTAACACGTGCCCAACAAACGGGGTGATGACCTATCTCCGCAGGCTCCTAGGGATGCCTGCCCGTTCGAGGGACTTGTTGAAGTTGGCTCTCTCCTAGACACGAGCGTAAACTGTCTGAGAATTTGGCGACTCGGGAATTTGATTAGCTGTATACTCAGCACCCTGCCTGTTCAATGAGTCTCGTTTGGGGAGGTGTGATCACCACACGGACCGGTCGTGAAACGAATGGAACACTTCAACTTCAAATCTTGACCTGGAGAGGAAGCGCCCGCTCGTGTTGAGGTGCTGTTCAATCTCAACTCATCCGGTTTCTTGATCTTCAACCTTGCGGTACTCAGTCTCTCTGTGACTAGAACTTGGGTTTCGATTGAGGTATATCCTCACCCCACTCACTCTGTTTGTGTTGTGATGTGATGTGCGTTTGTGTCAAGTTTTTAATCTATTCCAAACGGTCATAAAATATGCTTCTTCTTCCTTTCCTTTTCACCTTACCAAATCAAGTCATCTCACTTCTTTTTTTTTCTCTCACATTCTGCTCTAAGTTTCTTTAGTCATCATAAAATTCCTGTCAAAACAGGCATCTTACTCAATCCCTCTAAAGAATGTGACAGACAACTTTCAATCGTTTTTTTTTTTTTTCTGTTTCTTAGGTGTTATGGACGCGACCAATTTTACTTATACCGGACATTATTCTCCCTTTTCGTGCTTTTTTTTTTTTTTTTTTTTCATTCATTCCAAGGGTAAACTTGGTATGATTACTATTGGCGCCATCTACTCGCGCCGCCCGTTCACTGTCCAACTCACAGAGATTTACTTGTTCATCCCAACCCTTTTCAGGTTAGAAGAGTTGTGAAGCTAACACCAGCTATTCATTATCAATCCTCACGTCTTTCACAGACTTCAAAACTTTTATAGATCACCTCCTCGCGATTGAAACCTTTGAATCCTGGTATTGCGATATTTATACAGGCCTTGCCTGAGAAGACGTCTGAAATGATTGAGCAACTGATATTACGAATTCCAACCTACTACGTACGGATTTCCGTTTCAAGATAAATAATTACAAAAGAATAACAACCAAGAAAAAAAAAAAAAAAAACCAAGAAAAAAAACCCTGATAAATTTGTTACAATCCCTTTTCTGAATATACTGATGACCGAGCACTTGTTAGACACCACGACTTTCGCATTCACGAATAAAACCAATACTAACAGATAGATTCAAGTTCAAGAGGATGAAGGTTGTGGTTAGCAGAGGATTACTTTGAATTTTTTTTTTTTTTCTTATCATGAATTAAATTTGTGAGACTCACCAAGGCAGAGTATTTTCTATCAACTTCTTGACCTTCGGAAGTACAATGTTCCGGACTTGGCGCAACTCCCAAGTGAGTATTTGTACGGAAAACATACCGAGCGACGTCGCCCTCGATCACTCTCAAAGCTAACCAAGCTACGTTTCGAGTTGGATGATGAGGTGAGGGCATCGCACCAATCTTAGTTGCTACCACAAAGTCCCCCTTTTTATCGTCGGGAACAATCTCCGGATTAAAAAAGAATGCTGGTAATGGGGCAGGTTTACGCG